CTATTTGGATTTCGATAGTCCCTGCACCAAACTCTATCCCCCTCTACAAAACTATCTTCTCTTTTTCCTTTATAATTTAAAATTTGATTTTCAGCTTTTTCTTTGATGAAACCCCTTTTAGAGACAATAAATCTAAACGTGTACGTACCTTAGTTTTAAACATCATACTGCTAGGTGACATACCAGTAGTAGCATGTATCGAATTTCGATATGAAAATAAATATCTGTAAATCAAAGTTTCCAGTTGCACATTTTTATTTTTTTCATCTGAAAGAGCTTTTTTTAATCCTAATTTAACCGATTTAACACAGTTTTCTGCAAACCCGTTAGTTGAGGGATGAGAGGGTGGAGATGTTACAAACTTAACTCCGTTATTACTCAAAAAATCAATAAAGTTTTCGGATGTAAATTGGGTCCCATTATCCGTTTCTACTATACGCGGTATACCAAAACGTGAAAAACATTCCCTAAATCTACTAATAGTATTTTCTGAATCAGGTGTGTTCATCACGAATACCTCTGGCCATTTAGTGTATGTGTCCACAATAATTAAAATTGTCTTTGTCCTAATGGGCCCTAGAAAATCAGCATGTATTTTTTCATAAATGTAGTGAGACTCCAGTGACTTCATCAGCTTAGCCTTAGGCGGATCTGGCCGCAATTGGCAACAAACTTTACAGTTATTGACCTGCTGCTCAATCTCGTTATCTAGCGATGGCCACCAGAAGTAGGAACGGGCGCTGGACTTCATCTTCGTCATACCTTCATGATTACTGTGTAATTCTTTAAGTAACTGCCCTCTCAGTGCAACAGGAATTACCGCGCGATACCCCCACATTATAATTCCTTGCTCAATAAAAAGCTCCTGCCTCCTAGCTATAAATGGTTTCAATAGTTCATTTTCTGTATGCTTCGGAAATCCATATCTAATAAAATTGAACACTTTGCCCAAAATTGGATCTTTTCTTGATTCTGATCTCAGTTTTATTGAATCTATAGGTATTAAACTCTCAACCATGTTTAAATAATCATATTCAGGCTCATCATTTTCATAATCATCCTGTAAAGGCAATCGTGACAACGCATCTGCTCTTGAGTTATCCACTCCTCTGATAAACCTAAAAGTGTAATCAAAACCAGCTAGAAATAAAGACCATCTTTGAATTCGACCCGCCGCCATTTTCGGTAGGCTTTTATATTCACCAAAGATCGATTTCAATGGTTTGTGATCACTTAATATTTCGAACTTCCGTCCCGCCAAATATTGGTACAATTTAGATACCGACCAGTAGACAGCCAGAGCCTCCTTCATAATTTGAGAATAATTTCGCTCTGCTTTGTTTAATACCCTCGAGATATAGCATATAGGCCTCTCACTCCCATCTGGTAAAACATGAGACAAAACTCCCCCTATTCCATGATCACTCGCATCACACGCTAAACGAATTGGTTTATCTGGGTCATAATGTACTAAAATCTTTTGTGAAGCTAACTCAGTCTTTGCATATTGAAAAGCATTTTCACATTGTTTTGTCCATTTAATTTTTTTCATTTTCCCTACTAACTCATATAAGGGTTTTAATTTCCCTTGTAAATTTTCACAAAAACGAGAATAATAATTTATCATTCCCGCGAAAGCCCTAACCTCTGTAATATTTTTGGGTCTAGGAGCACTTATGATTGCCCTTACCTTTTCTTCGTCTTTTTCCAACCCATTTTGTGATATTTTGTGTCCCAAATAATAAATGTTTTCTTTGAAAAATTCGCATTTTTTTCCGTTTAATCTAAACCCTGCTCTTTCTAGTCGCTTTAACACCTCCTCCAAGTTTTCTAAATGCTCTCTATCGTCTTTCCCTGTTACTACTACATCATCCAGAAAATTTACTGTACCCCGACACCCCTGCAAAACCTTTTCAATTACATTTTGAAAAATAGAACAGGCTGGCTTCGTGCCATAAGGTAACCGCTTTATTCTATATATACCTAGAGGTGTGCTCCAAGATAATAACTCACTAGTTGTATCATCTAGTACTAACTGGTTATAAGCATTGAGAAAATCGAGTTTTGAATATTTTTGTCCTCCTTGTAACGCGGCGAAAATGTCCTCAATACGGGGCAATGGATGGTTGAAATCTTTTAAATATTTATTTACTGTGATTTTATAGTTAGCGCAAACACGAATATCTTTGCCATTGGGTTTCATAACTGGTACTAATGGTGTTCCCCACAGAGAATTATCTGCCCGTTCAATAGCACCCTCTGATTCTAACCGCTTTAGTTCCACCTCCACCTTTTCCCGAAAAGCAAATGGTAAGGGATGAGGTTTGTGGAAAACTGGTTTTACATTTTCATCTATTTCTAAAGTAACTTTTTCCCCATTGTACCTACCCAACTCCCTTTGAAAGAGCTTTGAATATTTTGACAATATTTTATCCAATTCTTTGTTTTTATTTTGAATAGCTAGGTCATTAATTGTTATTTTGGAATTTAAAGACATGTAAAATTTACTAATTATATCGCGACCTAACAACATTTTAGTAGCTTTCCTGACTATTGTAAAATTACAAATTTTTGAAACATTCTGTATAGAAATTTTTACAGTAATTTTCCCTTCTGGATTCACAATTTCTCCAGAGTAGGTTTTTAATTTAATACCTGTTTTATTCAAAGGAATGTAGCTTAAATTATCTAAATAAAACTTATGAGGCATGCAAGAAATACCTGCTCCAGTATCCAATTCCATCTGTGTGGACACCTTATCATCTACTACAACTGGAATATACAGTGGCTTTATAAAATTAACTTGTTGAATGTCTGTTAAGTTGTACAATGAAAGTATCTTCTCATTTTCTTCCTCTTCCACCAAATGATTCTGCTCTAATTTGCATGCTGCCATAATATGACCCTTTTTGCCACATTTTTTACAAATAAATGTTCGGTACTTACATTTACTAAAATTATGCTTGGTTTTGTTACAGAAATTACACCTTAAGTCTTCTGGATCACTATGTCTCTCTTTATCACTATGTCTCTCCACTATTTTCTCACCATTTCTGGAAATATTACTACTAGAAGTACTACTTGCTTTTTGTCCAACTTCTTGTAGCTTATTCACTTCAGCATTATTTCTGGACTGTTCTCTCAAGGCTGCTTCTTTGTTCAAAGCTATCTCTAACAGTTCTTGAAAACTTTTGGACGGACTCTCCTCACACAAACGGTCCAATATATGACCTGGCCTCATGCCTGTTACAAATTTATCTTGGACTCTATATATCAGTTTGTCCACAAAATCACATTGTGTAGCTGCATTTTTAACCCTTAAATACCAATCATTAATAGACTCTTGGCCCTGTCTTAATGAATCGAAAACAATCCTTCTGCGATATACAGACACTCTTGGTTTAAAATGTAGTCTTAATAACTGTATTAAAGTATCAAAGTCTTTACCATTCGGCTTCTCAGGGCTACATAGGTCTCTCAAAATCTTGTATACCTCTTCACTTAACAAGGTAAGTAAAACAGCAACCTTTCGTGTACCCTCTATTATATTTGCCATAAACAATTGGTCTAGCCGTTCTTCAAATACTTCAAAATCATTACCTTGCTTGAAACTGCTAATGCCGAAATGTTCCCAGTATTAACCACTGTAACAGTCGGTTGGACTGGCAAAACCACGTTTTCTGAATTACCCTGGTTCAAGGACATGACTTGCAAATTCCAAATTCAACTTTCCGTAAAAAAATACAATATTTTGTGCTTCACCCAAACTTCCACAACTTTTCTCGTCGCCAAATAATTGTAGTATCCTTGTAATAATACGACAATTACGGTAAATAGTTTTATTTTACTAAAATACCCGCTAAAAGAGTGAACACAAATGTTTATATTTTTACATCAATTTTACAAGTGTGCTTTTTTAGGTTGACAGCTGACGGTTGCCAGACAGCCGTCAGCTAACACCCTAAGGTCGGGTTTACACTGTCTAAGCTTACGACACTACAAATAGTTAATATGGGCTTAAGTAAAAGGGGAAGTAGCCAGATCAAATATAACTTTTAAATTTAATGATGTCAAACAACTTTTATTAAATTCCATAAAAAACGCAAAGAAAGGTAACTGGACCAATGCCGTAAACAACGTAAAAAAAGAGAAAGAACGATTGTGGACTGTTAATAATAACATTGAAGAATTTTTGTCAATCTATAATTCCAATCGGACCGGATAATGAATCTTACATAGAAGAAGAGGAAGAGATGGAAATCCATAATTTATTAGTAAATCAGTAAGTTTTTAATTTATGCACATTGCTTAAATGTGTGCATATGTTTTAACATTAATTTTATTTAACATTTAAATCTCTCCCTTTTTGATTCTAAAACAATGATTCATTATTTTCATACCTGTTAGGTTAGGTTATTCATGGGTTTGTATTATTTTAAAGTTTCAATGTGAACAAGGTGGGTTCTTTGAAAATAATATGTAAAACTACATTTCAACAGGAGGGGATATTATTTGTGAGTGATTTCAGTTTGACCACTTTACCTGCTGTTAGCATATTAGTGAAGATTTGCATTTGTAATAAGCTGTCAAGTTACAAACAAATAAAGTATAATTCCGACTTTTTTTATTATTTCATCCATGATCAGGTTGAACAAGAGAGGACTCTCCTGGTCTTATCCCATTGTCAGCTTCAACAGGGTCAATTAGTACTTCTTCTACTTTTACTATTCCTAGAGGTATCTCCCTTGCGTACAATAAGTGGATAACTTTCTTTAATTTGACCCTGTCAAATGGCTTGTTAAGTCCACGAAACAGCATTTCAGTATTACGTGGAACAATTCACAGAACATTGAAATAAAATGAAGAAGAAGTATTATAGCTACTCAACATTGTTGGGAAAAATTTAGTTACTTTTTTTATATTCTTCGTGTGTTATTGGTTAGGTTAGGATACTAATTTCGAACGAATTAGATATTTTTAAATATACATAGCATACTCACCAGTAATTTGAACACATCTCCTTAAATATAAATAAGCTAACTGTGGAGCATTCCTTACAATTATTAACAATCCACTGTCTTGCACAGCGATACAATCACTTAAATCTAAATATTGAAGTTGCAATTTTCTCGGTGGTTCTAACCCATTATTTACATTTATACACGATATTTTAGAGCAACCTGAAATAATACAAAAATCAAATCAAATCCCATATTTATAAATGGGTGAATAAAACTAACCTGTAATATCTAGATGCTGTAAGTTATTGCATTTGGTAGCAATTTCAAATACTACACTATTAGTTAGATTACTGCATCCTTGTAACTGTAAATGAGTTAATTCTGGACATCGTCTAGCTAGCAACAACAAACTTTTATCCGATATTTTAGCACCATTAGTAATATGGATTCTTTCTACACTAGGACAAGCTCCGGTTTTTCCTTGTCCACACAATTGCCTCAAAACACCTTTGATAGCCTTGTCACCACTTATATTATCATTCTCAATTACGATAACCCTCCATAATGATGGTGTCCAGGCTAGAATATCAAATCTTCTGCATACCTGAGCACAAAAGCTAATGTCTACACTAGTTAAGTATGAAAATATTTTTACAACTAACTCATCGGGTAATTTATCGAAGGAATTGTTTTTCGTTTGATACTTTTTGCCCTTGTACAAATTTGTATCCCAAAAATTAGGAGTAATCAAACTTGGATTATGGGTTACTAATGTGTGATAGCCTTGGTCAAGACTGGGACTGGATTTTCCTAACCTGGTGAAGTTGTCAAGGAGACAATTACTTTGCTGTGTTTCGTGACTATCGAAAACATTTTGATTTTCTGTGTCAGTATTATTGATTTTATTGTATTTCCAATAGTTTTGCTCTTGTGAGAAAGATGATAGTTGAAGTGTGTTTTTATTTGAATAAGATAAATTATTGTTTCCCTGATCAGTGTAACAGTCTTCATCGTAGTAGTTTTGCTAAAAATTATATTTTAAAAAAATTAATTCTATGGTACAGCTGGTTCCTAAAAAAACTGATACGACTCTTAGTAAGATTTGATCATTTTGAGCAGTGTATTTGATTGGTCTGACATTATATTATATTAATTATGACAGGCAAATAATAAAATAAACAAACAAACAACAAACAATTGAATACATATGTATGTTAATTCATAAATTATAATAATTATTAAGGTTTAAATTTTGATATTATTTTGAATTCCTGCATTTTATTAAGAGTCTATCGTCATATCCCGGCGAAAAGCCACTAACTGACATTTTGTGAAAAACTCATTAACTTCGCCGACCGCATGAAATTCATTATATCTTTCTATTATAAAAGTCACTACTTGCTAAATGTGGTTCTAAATGGCTATTTTTGTGTGTTAAAAAATCACTAACCCCTTAATACAGAAAATATTAAGCAGCCAAAAATACATAAGTGACTTATGCCTGGTTGCACCAACATATCTTAAGCTTAAGACGTGCCTTAGGTAGGCCTCAGCTCAGACTGATCGACCGACCACGACCAACCGTCCGACGGCGATCAACCAAATTTTGTATTTTTATATTTAAGAATATAAAGAATATTTTAGAATCGAAAATTATGGTGCAACGTAAGTGAGAGTTAAGGCAGCCCTAACTATAAGCAGAGCTGGGCTAAGCTGGAGCTTAAGATCTATTGGTGCAACCAGGCATTAATAACTTTTTACATACGAACAAATTCTGGAAATATGCGTTAAAACTCATTAATGGCACTTAGTGACTTTTTCCAGAATAATAAATCACTGCTGTGTTTGATTTTACACTTCTATTTCTCAGTTATTGATATGCAGTTAGTGAGTGAACACGTATTATTTCGCTAGAAAAATATTCCTTGGTGACGTTTCTTGTTAGATATTGTTATACCAACTGATTCTTGAAGTTTAATTAATAGTTAAAAATATGAGTTCCCGATCTTTAAAACTGGTAGAACTTGCCTTGAATGATGTAAGTACAATATTATTTATAACCTCACTTTTGACATAACACTTGGAATTAGCCATAACGGAAAAAGGTATTTATTACGTGTATCAATTTTAGAAATCAAAAAGGGACTATGAATCTCCTTGTACTAGCAAAATGGTGCAATCTGATATAGTTTTACATGACAATACATCCATGATTTTAAATGAAACGGATGTATGCAACTTGGTAAGTTTGTTGATATTAATTTGTATGTACTTATGTATTTACCAACTCTATTAATTTTAAGGATTTGACAAGAAGTAATCATAATATGTTGACATACAGCAAGATTTTGCAGACAGAGCAAGTTACGGAAAAGGAAGTCTGTATGAATTACAGTAAGACTGACGCATTTGATAGTTATGTAAGTGTATTTAAATGATTTATTATCTAGTTTAAAAATTTGGTAAACTTCATATTATAGCCCAGTAAATGTTTTGGAGTGTAATTTTCAGCGTCACGACGGATTTGCGTGAAAATTTGGATTATGATTTAATTTTGATTATTTCATTATTGGACGTGTACTGTTGGTTGCTTTTACATGGAGGGTGAAAGTCACCCCTTCTCGGGAGTGAAAAATATACGTTTAAAATAGTCGTGGTAAATTGACAATTCTAAGTAACTTTTGCTCTATAGAGTTTTTTAACTGTCATTTTTCGAGTTATTTGTGAGTGAAAATGTTTATTTTTCAACAAAAAAAAACTCGTTTTTAGGCGGTTTTTCGCAAGTAAATCAAAAAGTAAGCATATTATCGAAAAAAATATTCTTAGCAAAAATATAGTGTTACGGTAAATTCTGACCCAAAATCGTAAACATATTTATTTCTAATATTCTATTCATTCACGTATTTTGTAGGTCATATACTACCGAACTCTCCAGAAGGATTCGAATAACAACTTCAGGTAACAACAATGCAGCCGGCGGCCCGATCCTAAGAAAAAAACATGTTTATATTCTATACCAGACGAGAAGGCGATCGACTTTTCTAGTCTAACGGTATTGGGTATTTAAAGGGATCTTTTTGGAGAAAACAGGCAGTCAGGAAAGAAATTCGCGACGGGTATTTAAATGTAACGATCGTAATAATAAATTATTATTGTAAGATAGATTATTATAAATAAACTTTTGCTGGCGATATTTCGAAAATTTCCGGTGACAAATTAAAAAAGCATTTAATCACAGCACCAATTTTAGGGTATCCACTGCCAGAAGGAGAGTTCATTTTAGATACAGATGCAAGTAATGTGGGAATTGGAGGAGTGCTGTCTCAGATTCAAGGAGGACAGGAAAGAGTCCTTGGATATTTTAGTAAAGTTCTCTCAAAACCTGAGCGGAATTATTGCGTCACGAGAAGAGAACTTCTGGCAGTAGTGAAATCAGTAGAGCACTTCAATCAATACCTCTATGGAAGGAAGTTTTTAATCCGAACCGACCATGCCGTCCTTAAGTGGTTGATGCAGTTTAAAAATCCAGAGGCTCAGATAGCCAGGTGGATCGAACGACTTTAAGATTTGAGCACCGGGCAGGAGTTAGCCACAGAAACGCTGATTCTCTTTCCAGAAGGCCATGCCCAGCAGAGTGTTCCCACTGCAACAAAACGGAATCCAAGGAAGCAGCAGTGCTAAGAACGACGATGGTCAACGACGACTGGACGCCTACCAAGATAAGGGAAAAACAAGAGAGAGATCCAGTTGTACATAAAATTCGAAAATGGAAAGAGGAAAACCTTCGACCATCTTGACAAGAAATATCAAACCTATGCTCAGTAGTCAAGACGTATTGGGCCCAGTCGGACTCATCTATCATGGAAGATGGCTTGGTGAACCCAAAGAGCAGAATAGCCGAAGTACTTCGTCAGTTACACGACAGTCCATCAGGAGGGCATTTTGGTGTAAAGAAGACCCTTCAGCGAATTCGGGAACGGTTTTATTGGATGAACAGTTCCGAAGATGTAAAAGACTGGTGTAAGAAATGTACTATTTGTGCTACGAGTAACGGGCCTTATCGAAAAAGGAGAGCTCCTATTAGACAATATAATGTTGGAAGCCCGTTTGAAAGAATAGCTTTGGACATTGCTGGGCCATTTCCAGAAAGTGAAAATGGAGGCAAGTACATGTTGGTAGTAATGGATTACTTCACTAAGTGGGTCGAGATTTACGCACTCCCAGACCAGAAGTGGTTTCAATTTTTCTATAGTATTTGTTACATTAGTACCTCTAACCATGACATGTACATCAATCCATTTAGATTTACTGTCGACTAATAACAGATAAGAGACATTATTAAAAAAAAAAAAGAAATCAATATGAACATGTTCAAAAACATTAGCAGTTCTAGGCCATGGCATTAAAGATTTTTCACTATTGTTTTGTGATAATTGACATATTTCACAACTGGAGATCATTTGCTCAATATCTTGTTGTAGACCTGGCCACCAAACTATTGACCTAGCAAGCATTTTGGATCTTACAATACCATTGTGGTTCTCATGAATTAATTCTAGAATTTTATTTTTCAAAACAGTAGGGACTATTACTCTTGAACCCACAAGTAGACAATTTTCTTCCACAGACATCTCATGTCGTTTTAAAAAATATGGCTTCATAACTGGATCAGTAATTTTACTAGGCCATCCTGTCTTTACAAAATCTAATACCTTAACTAAAACCATATCTGTCTTTGTTACTTTAGCTACATCCTCAAAGGTGAGGGGTAGTTCCTCTGTTAAATTAAACGAATTTATGTAACCATCAACCTCCGTAGGATCACAGTGGTAACCTTGATAACATATCTGCTTCATACTTTTGTGACCCTTTTCGATACTCTACTTTATAATCATAGGCTGATAGTATAACATTCCAGCATATTATTCTAGATGCCGACGTAACTGAAATATTACGATCTGGATTAAATATTACTTTAAGTGGTTTATGATCTGAAACTAAAATAAACTGTCTACCATATAAATATTTATGAAACTTTTTAATACAAAATATAATGGCTAGAGCTTCACGTTCAATTTGGGAATAATTCTGCTCAGCCTTACCAAGAGTTCCAGATACAAAATGTATAGGCTTTTCTCTGCCATCAGAGTACCGATGACTAAGAACACCTAGCATCACATGAAACAACAATTTGCTTATTAGGATCATAATGTGCCAGAACTTGATTTGCCTCAATTAACTCCTTACTTAAGGAAAAAGCAGACATTCTGCATTAAAATTAAATTTTACATTCTTTTCCAATAATTTATATAACGGTTTTAAGCGGACTGATAACATAGGGATAAATTTACTATAGTAATTAATTAATCCTAAGTAAGATCGGAGTTGTGTTATATCTTTAGGTTCAGGTGCCTCTTTAATAGCTCTTAATTTATCACTAGTAGGATGAATACCATCTTTGTCTATACGGTGACCAAGATATTCAACCTGATCTTTAAAAAATGAACATTTTTGAGCATTACCTTGATATTATAACTACTTAATCTGTTAAAAACTATTTCCAGTAATCTACTGACATGTTTTATTAAAGTACCCAAAATAAGGATATCATCTAAATAGCAATGAACATTTGGTATACCTGCCAAGATCTGATCCATTACTGATTGAAAAATTGCTGGTGCACTTGCTATACCATATGTTAACCTAGTAAACCTAAATAAACCAATATGTGTATTTATAGTTAAATATTTTTGGAAGGCCTCATTTACTTTAAGTTCTTGATATGCACCTGATAAATCTATACAACAAAATATTTTACCTCCAGCTAAACTTGCAAAAATATTCTCAGGTAGTGGTAATGGGTATTGCTCTACACTTAAAACTTTATTTACAGTAACTTGAAAATCAGTGCAAATTCTAATATCCTCAGTGTTTTTCTTAGCTACAACTACAATGGGTGAAGCCCATTCACTATGTTTGACAGGTTTTAAAATACCAACTTGAACCATCTGATCTAATTTTCTTTCAACTAATGGCTTAACCCGTAACCGGTGACGTCCGATTTTAGGAACATAACCGGTGACGTGGAGTCTCCGGGACTCATCATAAATATGCTGGTCTCATTCAAATTTAAATAATTATTTTATCACATTGTTTATAATAATCTGTTCTTTAGGCATTTTTGCAATATCCTATTGCCTTTTTAGTTCTTTCTGTTACTGACTATTCTTATTATTAACATTTTTGTCAAAAGTTACAAATAAATAAAGTACGGTGTTACGTCGGAAAACTTAATTTTTTTTTAATATTTCTAAATTTGGTATGTACAAATGGTTTTAATATTAGGTATAACAAATATTGAATAATCTATGGTAATAAAAATTATCATCAGTAGTCTAAACGTAACGGAACGTGCAGGGGGTAAATAAGGACAAAAAAATGGGATTATTTTTTTTATTCTTTTTGAACGTTACAGTTTCTGCATATTTTATGAGAACAAATCAAGCAAATTGGTTTTTTACAACAGACGCATAAATAAGATGTCTTCCTATGAAGTTTTGATGGCAAATGTAGCAATACTTGCGAACTGCTACCGATCTTCTTGAATAGAAGGAGGTTCAACCACGCACAGTATTCGCTTTATGTTTTCTCTTATTTCTGTCGGGATTCTGCTGTTATACATTCGTTGTTTCATGTGTGCTTCAATTAAGCTTTTAGCCAGTACCTTCATAAAATCTTTCCTGTCTAAGGGTTTGGATTCTCTATAACACTGATACATAACAAAAGCGTTAACTGTACTCATATCTAGTATTTTGTAAAATATACTATACGTATATAGTACGTTGCAACGTTGCGTTCTTTTGGACGAACTGTAAACCGTACATTTTTCATCCAAAGCATCAACGCCGCCTTTCGTCATATTATACAGACTAATTATTTCTGGTTTTTGTGTTTTTTCATCTATGGCTATACTATGATGCATGGAGGATAATAGTATGACGGCTTTGTTTTTTTTTTAGGAACATACGAAAGAAGGGTAATGTCTTTTGTAAAACCGTATCTAACTGAACCAATCTCTCCATGCCTTTGAAAAAGAAACTCAGGAGGAATAAGTCTTTTAACCTTTTTCATAGTTCCCGCATATGTTAGGCCATTAGATTTCAACAACTGAACTAGTTCTATAGACGTGAACCAATTGTCAGCTGTCACATTACGATTACTGCCAAATAATGGCTTAGAAAGCCGTAACACAGATTGAGTAGGTTTAGCAAGCTTTTTCTCAGTTACTGAAAGGCCCATTCCGTCGGAATCTTGGCCTGTATATACATACGCATTGTACACATAGTTGTTTCTTGCATCTGTTAATATCATAATTTTAAGTCCATATTTTCGTGGTTTGTTTGGAATATACATTCTAAAG